CCCCCTCTCCTTAGGTCTTAACAGTGGGCCTGAATGGTCTATGTTCAGATCAACTCCCGGTTGGTTACTAAATCAGGGGAATCGAAGGCATTTTCAAGATTAGATGCTATAAAATTTTTGGTAGAAGTAGCTGACGACCATTTCTCAAAAAATTACAATACTTGTTTTGAATATTTTCATTATTTATTTTGGCTAAAGGATGTTTTGTTCAACGATACAAACTTGTCGAAGACACAGGTTCCATTTTTGAGATCAAACTAGCAAACAAAAAACAAATGCACGAAGAACATTTGCAAATTTTGAAAGTCTTGTTGCATAATGTTTACATTTGCCAATAGACCAGGCACTAGTTTAGGCGTATTTTGGCCACGAACGCCATTTAGTGGATCTAAAAAAGACATGTTGGAAGGTTATTTAGACATAACCTCTTTCGCTCTTGAAGTACAATTCAACCAATCCTGTTTCTTTAAAGTGATAAAATATGATTTTGCCAAATTTTACTTGAGACAACCTACATACATTAAAAAATGTAGATAATAGCAGTAACAGTTTAAGAAATAAAAAAGCCTCTGTGAGAAATGCACTTCCGCGACCTTCGCGTTTTAAGTCCGAAGTCGCCCACGGTGAGCAATGAACTATAAAATATCCTTGTGCGAGCTCGACTTATACATGTTGGTATAAAAAGTGGCCCTACGATTTCGATTTTTTGCAAAAATTTGAAAACGTCAACACGAATTCATAAACCACAAGTACAGTTATATGTTATTTTATAAAATTTAAATCCTACTTACTACGAAAAATTTAGAGGTAACATCATCAAATTGTTGGTGGAGTTGATTAGATCAATTTTGGGTACCGTTTCACCAACTACACGTTATTTCTAAGATAATATAAAATTTGACAACAATCGGTCCGATAGTTCGGAGATTCCAGATGTCTAATAAAATGTGTAATAAAAATCTACATATGAAATCTACATGTTCGTAATTTAAGGTTCATGAAACGTCGGAAAAACCTGAAAGTAGCCATTCGTTAGCATGCGCTCGGGAAGTAAATACTTAAGTTTAAGTTTATAGTAATGATCCAATACAACATATAACGTTAATAATTCATTTCTGTATTTTTTAATAGTGTTTCTAATTCCATTCGATTTTAAGAATAAGCAATTTTTAAGTTTAAGTTTTTTAAGTATTGTTATAGATTTCTTTTTTTTAATAAAATTTGTAACTTTTTTAATAATGATGAATTTAATCCTTTTCTGGATTTTATTTACATTATTCAATGGTACTTGAACACACCTTTCCTAATTGGACTATAACTTTACAACAAATTTTATACTTAGGCAACGAAAAAAGATTAGGTATTCCAACGCTACACAAGCTTTCATTTTCAAATAAAATTCAAAGCGAACCGTGAGTTTGCTGGAATGTTTGTTATCAGCAGACAACAAAACACCTACAGCATAATTTTCACATATACAACAAACAACAAAAACCTTGAGTTTATGCTACATATACTAGCAAAATTAATTAGCAGAAAAAAAATTTAAGCAGAGCCTACGTCGTAGACCCGTATAGACTAAGTGTAGATAGGTAAGAAAAAAACTAAACCTTGAGAGTGAAAAAAGCGAACTAAATGAGTCACCAAATAACAAATTCTTAGCAAAATTTGAAAGTTCATTATACTTTTGCTTAAAAATAATATAACGAATCTCAAATACTGACCTGTCTAAAGTACAAAAATCGTGGACTATAAACTGTGACTTGTTTTTTACTTAATTATGATCATGTGAAGGTCAGTGTGCCTACAGCACGATCAAGTTTTCTTATTAAAAAAATATATATTATGTAGGTCATCGTTTTTACTGCAAAATACACTTCTGCAACGAACGTACGCTTGGTATAAAGTATGCAAGTCCAAGGCATTTTCAACCGAGCGGGTTTCTTGCAAGCCACCAGCAAAAAAGATGCGCCAGATGTGGAATGAACGCACGAATATATTAAGCTGCTGAAATATTTTTGGCGATTTTTTTACTTTTTCAGCTAGTCGCTTCGGCTCTCAATGCGAGTCGGTTATTTTCTTCGTATTTTAGAGTTATAAGATAACCCATACACGGCACGGAATGCGTTGATTTTTAGGCCAGCAATTATAAATTCAGAACCGCGCCGACATGTCTTGCACGCAGGATCCAGTCTGATGCATCTTTGACGTAACCACCTTTCAAAACAGGTACAAAATTATAAAGTGGTTTAGCCGAGATTTCCATTCAGACCAGTTAATAAATTAAGACCCGAACAATGGATTATGAAAACAAAATAACGATGAAGGCGATTTTTATCTAAGCATAAAGGTTAATTGTGTCTATGTTTACAATTCAGGTTCAACTTCCAGTTCCGGCTGAGATTCATCTTAATTTTAAAAATTCCGAAATTATTTAGTCGGTGTTACGTAAACGGTCGAGGCGACCTTGACAGAATGTTGCTTTTTGGAAAATGCGTTTTCTTAATGCTAATAAAATTATAAATCAGTGATGATTTAAAGTGTAAATCAGCAAATGGGAGTTGTTTGTGGAAGATAACGTCATAGAATAATAGCGAAGATCAAAGATCGTATCTTTTCACACGGTCGTCATTAGTCACACCTGAAAGCCAAATCCAAGTCCGAAGTGCGACTTTTATAGGTGAAGATTATTCAGAACGATTGTTTCCTGTTTAGTTTTTTTTTTTTGCAAAAGACACACCCATGCACTTGTAATCAGACGACGATACAATGAAAATGAATTATTTATCTTTAAAGATCATATCGTCTGATAGTCTTAAATTTCTTCCTTAAATCAGCGAAGGAAATAAGTTGTTACGCATGAATAACAAAAACCTTGACATTGCTAATAAACACATTAGACGCACATAAATAATGTATTTTTCCTCAATCAACTCCATTATTTTTAGAACAATCAGTCAAACTTGAAAAATATTCCATTTTGATTGAGCTATTTTTACATGTGGATCGCTTCACGGTTTGCATCGTCAAAACTGACTTTGTTGATCAAACAAATCCTAAATTATAAATTATCGCAGAACGTGTTTTTGATTTTAAGACGCGCATCGTGTTTATTACGTTGACAATTTTAGTTTACGAGCTTTGTCAACCACAAATAACTAGTTTGTTTTCTCGAAACTCCCCAACTTCTTACGAAGAGAAGTCATACTTGAAGGACACCGTGGTCACTCTGCAGATGATGGAATATTTAGACGGTCTTGAGTATTTTGACGTAGGTATACATTAACTGTTCGCTGGAAAATCAGATGGAATTTTTTCAACCGGTTTCAATTATTCAAGGACCTACCACTAAAATTCAAGTCAAGATTGTCTCACAACAGGAATACAAATTAATCAGAAGACAGAAGACATTTTTTTTTGATTGATGAAAAAAAGTATTTACGGAAATGGATGATCAATCGGTTAAGGTCGTCGAATAATGACTTAGCATCACCAGACTACTTACTCAGTATTTAAACATCTGGATTAGCGTTTGTGTATATAGACAATATTTTATTCTAGATTCCATTATGATTTATCTTATCTTTTAAATCATCAAAGGCTGACTAAACATTATGTAACACTGGGCAGTTTTTTACGTATTCAGGCATTCCGAACGATATCACAAAACTAATGGAAAAAATTTAAATCGCAGGAAACCAAGCGTTCTGCGGATATGACGACCTTGCTGTAATTTTATGTTTGAGAGAGTTTTTCAGATGGAACGTCAATATACACCCAAAGGCGGTTGACAAAACTGCCGCCTCATGGGCTAAATCCTATCTTAAATCTTATTCATCTGAAAACACCAACTTTATAAATCGACTACCTTTACATACAATCCGCAATAATTCTCCCTCAAATCCCATCCAAATCAATATAGTTAGAGGTCAAACTTCACCACTAAATAATTGAAAACTTATTTACAATTTCAGGTAAGATATTATTGTTCGAAGTTTCCTATGAAGCAGAAAATTAAGTTTCTTATTTAATTTTTTGCTCTTGTCGTTAAAAAAATATAGCCCGTCAAGTTCTCAAGTTATATCAAGTAAAATATGTTGGGGGATTACTATTGGACTTATATTCTTGATATTTAGCTGTGAGTATTTTAAAATCTTGATAGAAAAATCTGAAAACAGATTTGGAATCAGTATCAGAAACACTACTCCATTGTTTTTGCACAAAACTGCTGTAAACCAGTGTAACCATTCGAATAAAACAATCGAATAAGATTTGAATTATTTAATCTTAAATTTGGCGGGAACTCGCATTCGCCTGAAATTGAGTTTAATTGTATTCATGCTACGTTTGGGTGCCCCTAAGAGTTATCTTGGGGCCGTTATTCTTCATATATTTACCAACAATATAATCATTTTTATGATTCTATGATTAGTATAACATTATTAATTTTGACAAATGACATTTTCAGTGTAACTCACTGAATTAGAATTATTTTCCAACAAGTTTTTTGCTTATATAAATTTTGCTATGACACCACCAGAAAAATTTATGTAATATAAAAATTTGTCTACAATAAAACTCACCAGGACCGTACTCGTAGTACGACGGTGTACAGCTCGTTGACGTGCACATGGTGTGTCGAATTATTTACAAAATAAATAAGCCGCACTACCCTAAGCTATCAAAGACTTTTCTAATTTCCAAGCCCGAAAAATCGAAAATGGTCCTCGAAAAAACTACACAACTACCTCGAAAAGCCATTAATCCCGCACATTAAAAAAAGAGTTCGTTAATCGAATTCAATGATCCACTATTCATCAGTGGTCTACCGAAGACACTATCACAGCCATCCAAAGGCGCAACTTCTTATAGTGCGACTACGGCACGTGGTCGAACTCCAAACATTTTTTATTTGATCGGCAAGTTCGGGTGGCACGTGACGGGGTTCGGAGCCGCGATTGGCTGTGTCGGTTAACCCCGGTTAACCGTAACGAGATGAAGTTAACTTGTGACCAGCTCGCGTACCGGTAACTTAACGAATGCTGGGGCGGTCTCGCAACACAGGTGAGTGGCGCAGTCGCGTGTATCTTCATAACGCGAGGTCAGTGTTTACAATATCGGCTCGTTGTTGACATTGTTTGTGCAAAATTAGACGTGTACCAACAGGAATTAAGACGTGTTAAGTGAATTAACACCCTTTAAGGCTAGGCGACAGAACGCCTGAGGTCGAGATAGGGACGTTGGGCTCGATGGTCTGCTATTGGAATTTAATTATTGTTATTCTGGCTGGCGGCTGACCTCTTGTTTCCTTATGCTGCCTTATACTTATTCGCAAAACCGACCGAGAAATTTTTTCAGGCAATTAGCTACACGCATCCGGTGGCCACACTGAAACTTCTTAGATGCCTGAAGAGATTGAAGAATGGTGGATGGCTATTAAGTCGTGCTTCTCCTGTCTATTGTATCTCTAATCGCTAGCTGTAGGGAAGAAACACGAAGTTAAACTAGAGTAGTCCTTGGCTGCTTACAAAATAAGGAATTAATTAATTTTTGTGACACTGACGTAAATAAGGAACTGTTTTTTTCTCAAAAATATATTTTCGCAGACGTGATAGATAAGGTAATGCTCTGTCACGTAAATTGACGAAATCTCCAAACGAGTGTTAAAAGTTAACGACTGTACAGGTCGTCGCGTCCTGAGGAATAAACATTTTTGTTTGTCTTTAATTAGCATTCAAATTTTATAAAACTCTACATCAATAAATAATATTTAACGTGTTATTTAAATGTGATAAATATTTTTATTAGAGTGTATGAAATATAATGTTATGCTTTTAATGTACTGACAACAAACGACGTAAGACTTGAATCACTTGATAATTTTTTGAAATATTCCACTGTGTATCTTTATGATATTTGCTTATGAAATATAAAGCACGACGTTTCGATACGCGAAGTGTTACAACTAATTTAATTATGAGTTTTATATTTTACATATAAATTGTCTATTGAAAAACAAATTAGAAGTCATAAATAGTATGCGCTGTATTTTTGAATACGTTATGTGTAGCTATTTTTAAATTAGTTCCTAGTATTCATAGTGTTAAGCAATACATAAAATTGATACTAATTAATGAACAAAATTAGCAAGCTGCGTTTGATTAATTGTTTTATTAATATTTTGCAGTCCTTGAACAAATTACCGCGTTCGTCAATGTTTCACAAAATCGACTCACTCCCTTCAAACGTAGTTAACAAAATATTTTCAAAATTTTGACTTGCGGCGGTCATTTTTGATTTGTTAAGAACATCCTATGCTAACTTTTTTATTGTGAATAAGACGTGTTACATAGTTCTACACTCTCTGATTGAGTAATAAATTTATTTATTAGATTTCGGTTAACAAAAAAAATGCAAAATTGACTTTTAGTTTAATAGTGATATGCTGTTAGCACTTATGTAATATTTATTTAAGCATTTAAAATCTAGTCATTTTAAAAATAACTTGATTTTTTCAATTAAATAATGATTCGTAATGGTTTTGAGATGAGGAAATCTTTAAGATTTTATTTGACATACAACACTTTGGATTTCATTGTGGTATTTAAATTTATCTCCATATTCATATTGCGTTCAAAATACGTAATATTGTGCCGACACTTGTGGTATTATGTCAAATTATTATACTTTTAATCCATTTTTTTAGCCTTGTACGTTGAGATAAACTGAAATTTGTTCCATATTGATGTGTAAAGGCACCGTTTTTAAAAAAATGAAATTCCGGAAAACATCGTTTTTTTGTTTACAGTTAGGGCCAGAAAATATTGAACGTCAGTTTGAGGTTTGAAATTTCAAAAATTTGTCACGTTGCTCGCAGTTTTAAAAATGACAAACCTAAAAAAATAAGTTTACAATACTTACACTTGTTTTACACTTTGTGACAGTGGAATGACATCGACGTCCAAGATTTCTGACCCCGACTGTATATTTCTTATCTTTCAGATTTCACAGCGTACGCTCACTGCATGCAAAGTCTAAAACGTATTAGTAATTCTCCGAAACTACTGTTTGAACAATTGTTACAGTAGCCTTGTTTAGTACTTTGAAATAACAATACAGGTTTTAATCAATACCACCGGCCGCAAAAAATGCAGACAGCATATTATTTGCATGCGGGAAACCCGAAAATTTTTTAGTCATTGACAACTTTTGACATTGAAGGTTTCTGAAACGTCACGGAATATATAGCATGTACTACACATTCCTTAATAATAATAGGTAATAGCTCGTTTGTGACTTAAGATAATCGGTCTCCAATAAAAACTAAGTTAAAACTAAGTCAAGTATATAATGTAAATCTACAGTAATATCCAATTATAATAGATATTTTAGTGTATACGACACTAATTTTAGGGTTATGTTGTCACATAATATTAAAAACCCTTAAAAAAACTTATTTTTATAGAAATTTGAAATAACTGACCTGAAAATATATAAATATTTCCTCTACAATTCTATAGAAGTACAAAGTAGAAGCACCCTTAAGTTGTAGGGACAATTTGGCTTTCTGCGACTTTGTATTCTTGTAAGAAACTAAATTTTTACGTTTTTCTTTGCACAGCCTAATAAGAATAAAGTTTATTCACATCATACCATGCATTACAAATTAATAAAATACTTGATAAAAATTTTGAGATTACGTCATTAAATTTTTGGTGGGGACGATCAGAAAACTTTTGGTAAGTGTTCTAAATGATATTCTTAAAAAAACATCTAAAACTTTACAACAAAGAGTTTAACAGTTTCAAAGAGTTGTCTAATAAAAGCGCAAACAGACGACAGGCTGTAAACAGAGGACAGACAGACGGAAATGGGGAAACCTTCTGTTTTACATTCTATTAGCTATGAAACGTTCACAAAAATAAAATTGAAACTATTTCTCACAAACAGAAACTACATGGAAATTCGCTCAAAATATATACGAAGGCCGAAGGACGTGATTTTACTGTTGTTGTAAAATTAAACAATTTAATGAACAAGACAAAAACAAAAAAGTATTCTGAGAAAGTTTGTTTACTATTAAGAAAGGAAGTAAAAGTCGTGTTTAGATACACTGTTTAAAAATTAACTAAAATATTACAAAACTTCTATGCATCCACACGATAAGTTTATTTTTGAGTTATAAATTTTATCACCATGTAGATAAGCTTGCAAGGACAAACTCGACGGCCACTCAGCATGTCATTAATGTTTCCTACACATACACAAAATTTTATTAGTACAACTTTATAGAAATTTGAAGCAAAAAAACAAAAAACAAAACGTGGTTAATAAAAATCATGCTATCAGTTCCATTTGGAAAGTGTAATTAATGTTAATGAGGATTTTAATGAAGTTGGCCATTTAAAAGCGGCTATGTTTAAATTATTAAATTATCCGTAGCATACTAAAAGTAGTTTTTGGATATATGTTTACTAATTTAAAGTGAAGATATACGCCATGTAATGTACCTGTCAATCTCTAAGAAAAAACAAGATTGTAATTTTTCCTAATTACAGTTTTACATACGATAAAACTGATTTTTGATGTCACTTGTTTATCACAAACACAACATAATAAAGTTATATTTCATAAAATGTCAAAAATTTCACAATAGCATTTCAGTACGACGTAAACTGATTTTTTATCAACAAAACAAATTTTATCGTAATGTATGTATGAAATGAAGAAAACCAGTACAAATAAATAGTATTTTTTTAAAGAAAACTTGTTTTTCAAGTTATCGCTTTTGTTTCTAGTAAAGTACTTAGATAGCAAAATTTTTTATTTCAGAAAAGAAACTATTTGCTTTACTAATGAGCATTTGCTCCACTTTTACTGTTATAATTCAATATTGATTTCAATAATTTGACGAAATAACGTAGATTGTTTCAAAAAAATTTTGGAGTACCTACTTTGTCTTTTTTTTTTTTAAATTAGGGTCTTCTCAAAATATAAAGTTCGAGGTGACAGTGCAGCGTATCTTTGAACTCTTACTGTATACCGGTATTTCAACTTACACGACAACGATTGCCTGGAAAACACAATCTGGTACATTAAAATCTGTTGGCAAAAAATTTAGATTTTGCGAAGTAAAATTTTCCAAAGCAAAAATTGTCAGTGCGTCAAACTATATTATGCTAGTAAAATATTTAAATTTTCTGTTTCTGACGTTGCTAGAGACGATAACAAAACTAACTGGTTCTTAATTGTCTCACCTCACACCATTAACAGTGGGGTTTTCCTTTTAAGCACCTGTAAATTTATGCAAGTAATGGAACTATCATTTAACTCCGCGATACGTTATATTTTATAAAATTAATTATTAAAGGCGATAACTGCGTCAAATATCCATAAGTGTACGTTCTTAATTGGTGATACCAACATTCGCTCTTTTATTAACAAATGCGGTTAAATTCTAAGTACTCTTACGTGTAACAATACTTTTTTGGAAGTCACTTAAAAAATATCGGCTTTTTATGCTCTCGCTTCGTTAAAAACACTGCAATAAAATGCCGCTTTAAAAATATGTGTCAACAACACAATACATACCTACCTGCGAAAATAAAACGTGCAATTCTACACCAACAAAACAACTAGAAATTATCCAAAAAGTATTTTAATTACCTGCTTGGCATTTAAATGCGTTGCGACAGCACCTGCAATTTTTGCGCTTTGCAAATTAACCGAATTACTCCAGCAGATTCATAAATAAAATCGAGAAAAATTATAAATTACAGAGATCCACGTCTTGGTATTACGACAGCGTCTTTAATCATTTAATTCGCTTGTTAGTGTTTTCGGTTTGAGCAGGTCGACCTAACCGCGAAATTCGTCCTTTAGGAAGATCCCACTTGTCGATTGCAAAATTTTTTCGATTCGCAACACCTTTCGCTACACAGCAATCTGATCAAGCAATAAATAAATTATTACGACACTGTGTTGATTTGTTTTTAACAGAAGGATTATATTTAATCCTCGCATGTTTTTGTACATCATTTATTTTTGAGGTATTGCTCGTTTAA